ATTGACAAATTTACATTTAATCTGAGTTGAGCCAAGACCTAAGTGGCTTTCTGCATTTCTTAAAACAACTCCAGTCTCAAAGATCTCATTGCACTTCACTTAAATATTATTTAATTGACTATTTACATTGAATTGTATGTATGGTTATTTGTTAGTGTTGATAGCAACAGCAGCTAGCTGTAGCATTTCCAGTGCAGCCTGAGGCACTTCCTGCTTCCTAACAATGTGATATATATTGTACATACCAGTAAAAAAAAACGTATTATTGATACCAACACTAGTAAAGGATCAGATTAGTACTAGTGTGATGATGAGATTTTAATACTTTACTTTGCATTTCTACTCTACTTTTTGCACGCTGTTCCTGTTTCATAGGTGCAAAGAACATCCATCCATCCATCCATTTTCTTCCGCTTATCCGGGGTCTGGTCGCCGGGGTAGCAGTCTAAGTAGGGAGGCCCAGATTTCCCTCTCCACAGCCACTTGGGCCAGCTCTTCCGGGGGAATCCCGAGGCGTTCCCAGGCCAGCCGAGAGACATAGTCCCTCCAGCGTGTCTTGGGTTTTCCTCTGGGCCTCCGCCCGGTGGGACGTGTCCGGAACACCTCACCAAGGAGGCGTCCAGGAGGCATCCTAAACAGATGCCCAAGCCACCTCAACTGGCTCCTCTCGATGTGGAGAAGCAGCGGCTCTACTCTGAGTCCCTCCCGGATGATCGAGCTTCTCACGCTATCTCTAAAGGAGAGCCCAGACACCCTGCGGAGAAAACTCATTTCGGCTGCTTGTATCCGAGATCTCATTCTTTCGGTCACAACCCAAAGGTCGTGACCATAGATGAGGGTAGGAACATAGATTGATCGGTAAATTGAGAGCTTTGCCTTTTGACTCAGCTCTCTCTTCACCACGACAGACCTGTACAGCGCCTGCTTCACTGCAGACGCTGCACCTATCCGCCTATCGATCTCACGCTCCATTTTTCCCTCATTCGTGAACAAGACCCCAAGATACTTTAACTCCTCCACTTGGGGTAGGACCTCCTCCCTGACCCAGAGAGGGCACTCTACCCTTTTCTGGCTCAAGACCATGGCCTCGGATTTGGAGGAACTGATCTTCAGCCCGGCCGCGTCGCATTCGGCTGCAAACCGCTCCAGCAAAAGCTGTAGATCACAATCTGATGAAGCCAATAAGACCACATCATCTGCAAAAACAGAGACGCAATCCTAAGGCCACCAAAACAGATCCCCTCAAAACCTTGGATGTGCCTAGAAATTCTGTCCATAAAAGTTATGAACAGAATCGGTGACAAAGGGCAACCTTGGTGGAGTCCAACTCTCATTGGGAACAAGCCCAACTTACTGCCGGCGATGCAGACCAGGCTCTGACACCGGTCATACAGGGACCTAACAGCCCGTATCAAAGGGCCCGGTACCCCATACTCCCAGAGTACCCCCCCACAGGGTTCCCCAAGGGACGCGGTCGAACGCCTTCTCCAAGTCCCCAAAGCACATGTAGACCAGTTGGGCAAACTCCCACACACCCTCCAGGACCCTGCTGAGAGTGTAGAGCTGGTCCAGTGTTCCACGGCCAGGATGAAAACTGCACTGCTCCTCCTGAATCCGAGGTTCGACTATCCGACGGACCCTCCTCTCCAGAACCCCCGAGTAGACCTTACCAGGGAGGCTTAAGAGTGTGATTCCCCTGTAGTTGGAACACACTCTATGGTCCCCCTTTTTGAATAGGGGGACAACCACCCCGGTCTGCCAATCCAGGGGAACTTCCCCCGATGTCCATGCAATATTGCAGAGTCACGTAAGCCAACACAACCGTACAACATCCAGAGCCTTAAGGAACTCTGGGCGAATCTCATCCACCACTGGGGTCCTGCCACCGAGGAGCTTTTTAACCACCTCGGTGACCTCAGCACCAGAGATTGGAGGCCCGACCCAGAGTCCCCAGGCTCCGCTTCCTCAGTTTAAAACATGCCGATGGGATTGAGGAAGTCTTCAAAGTATTCTGCCCACCGACCCACAACATCCCGAGTTGAGGTCAGCAGCACACCACTCCCACTATAAACAGTGTTGGTGGCGTACCGCTTTCCCCCCCTGAGATGCCTGATGGAGGACCAGAATCGCCTCGAAGCCGTGCGGAAGTCATTCTCCATGGCCTCTCCGAACTCCTCCCATGCCCGAGTTTTTGCCTCAGCGACCACCCGAGCCGCATGTCGCTTGGACTGCCGGTACCCATCAGCTGCTTCCGGGGTCTCACAGGCCAAAAAGGCCCGATAGGATTCCTTCTTCAGCCTGACAGCATCCCTCACCGACGGTGTACACCATCAGGTTCGAGGGTTGCCACCGCGTCAGGCACCGACAACCTTGCGGCCGCAGCTCCAGTAAGCCGCCTCGACAATAGAGGCACGAAACATGGTCCACTCAGACTCAATGTCCCCCACCTCCCCCGGAACATGTTCGAAGTTCTCCCGGAGGTGGGAGTTAAAACTCCGTCTCACAGGAGACTTTGCCAGATGTTCCCAGCAAACCCTCACAATACGTTTGGGTCTGCCAGGTCTGACCGGCATCCTCCCCCACCATTGGAGCCAACTCACCACCAGGTAGTGATCAGTGGACAGCTCCGCCCCTCTCTTCACCTGAGTGTCCAAGACATGTGGCCGCAGATCAGATGAGACGATGACAAAGTCGATCATCAAACTGCGGCCTAGGGTGTCCTGGTGCCAAGAGCATATATGGACACCCTTATGCTTGAACAAGGTGTTCGCTATTGACAATCCATGACGAGCGCAGAAGTCCAACAACAGAACACCACTCGGGTTCAGATCAAGGGGGCCGTTCCTCCCAACCACACCCCTCCAGGTCTCACTGTCATTCCCCACATGAGCATTGAAGTCCCCCAGCAGAACAAGGGAGTCCCCAGGAGGTGCACTTTCCAGTACCCCCTCCAAGGACTCCATAAAGGGTGGATAATCTGAACTGTCGTTTGGTGCATAAGCACAAACAACAGTCAGAACCCGTCCCCCCACACGTAGGCGGAGGGAGGCCACCCTCTCATTCACCGGGGTGAACCCCAACACACAGGCACCAAGTTGGGGGGCAATAAGTACGCCCACTCCTGCTCGGCACCTCTCACCAGGGGCAACTCCAGAGTGGAAGAGTGTCCAGCCCCTCTCAAGGAAACTGGTTCCAGAGCCAGAGCCATGCGTAGAGGTGAGTCCGACTATTTCTAGCCGGAACCTCTCAGCCTCACACACCAGCTCAGGCTCCTTCCCCACCAGTGAGGTGACATTCCACGTCCCAATAGCCAGCTTCTGTAGCCGAGGATCAGACCACCAGGGTCCCTGCCCTCGGCCACCACCCATCCCACATTGCACCCAACCCCTTTGGCCCCTCCCACAGGTGGTGAGCCATGGGAAGGGTGCAAAGAACATGATAAAATTAATTAAATTAAAGCAAAAGTCTGTTATATGTTGAGGAATATATATTCAGATGTAATATAATGACAACAAAACATAAGACACACTCTTCTACATGAAACTGTACAGCCTACCCTTACAGGTCATATTGGTTGGATTTTAGTAATAATGTATGCCACTAATTAAATTCAAAAGATTGACTGTAGTGTCAAAGTTGAAAAAAGAAATGAGAAAATCAACTTTCACATTAACCAATGTAGAATTTTTAAAGATTAAACTTGTTTTAAAACGAGCTCGGACTAGCCATTAGCTCATCTGTCAAGTCAGAGTTTTACTCCATTTCTCCAAACGGAGGTGCCATCTGCAACGAGTAAAATAAATACATAAATAAATAAATGTTTATAACTTTACACACATCATAAGATACGAACGAACCATTTGAAAATAAATGGTGAACCAGTTCGCACAATAGTAGCCACTATAGAGTCGAGAACAGATTAAAGATGGTCATATTATTGTTGTCATGGAAACAAGATAATATTGTGTGACAAGCAGACACTTATGACAGTTTTGCCTCTGCATAAATTCTGTCCTTCTTTGTGTAAACTAACAGTCCAGATTTTCTATTATTCAGTTTCTGATTCTTGGTCCTTGTTTTCTTGTCCATCCAGTCCCACCAACCTGTCTTGATCCTGACACAGTGCACGGTGATGTCACCCTGTCCAATGAGTGGATGGGGTGAGGGGAAAGCCGCTGTTTAGCTTCTGCAGTCTGGGTTAAGAGCCCACTCAGTGAGATAAGAGAGCATTGTTTACTTGGCCCAGCTTTGGTCCAACTCCCACACAGACGTGCACGGAGAGCTCTGCCGCCCGCACTGCACAGCTTTACTGTCACACTTTCCAGAATGTGCTGCATGATTGTGGTAAGTTATTAAGAACTGTGTGCTGCATAGTCAGAGTATTAAACTAAGACCTTAAAGATGAGGCGATGTGCAAACTGTGAACTTCTTGGGTCACTGCACCATATTGTCTCTTAGTTGGAACTCACTCTACTCTGCTGATTTTATGATTTTTAATCTTTGTGGTCATTTATTGGCCATAAAAGTAATCCAACACATCTATTCATATCAGCACAAACACAACATATTCTGCACCTATGCCAAATAAATGTTTTCAAAGCAGCACGTTTCTTTTCTTAAAGTCACATTTTTACGTGAAGTTTTCTCGTACTTTAATTTTCTCTGATATAGTTCTCACCCATATCCTTGTGTGTGTTTGAACCACTGGACATGCTTTTGTGAAAGTCTCTCAAATCAATCACTGGCTGCACAAATAATTCATCCCAAGGATTGCTATGTCTGTAATTACCTGAAGAGTTGCCATGGTTTAATTTTTTCTAATAAATGTGCAGCCTAGGTTTTGTGTTTACATTCAAACTCACATCATCTCACAAATCACTGCTCATGCATCTTCAGATTTTCCTTTTACCATTTAGTCATTTGTTGCTTTTATCATTTCAGCTTGCCACCTGCACACATCCAACTCTTGTTTTTTTCTACGTGTTCACTGGTTTACGTACCGGTACTTCATGCCGGTCAGCTTGGCGGTGGACTCCTTGAGGTTGTGGTGATAGCGGTGAGTGAAGGAACCCAGGCTGCGAGCAATCAGGGCCACTGTGCGGAATCGAGCGCGGGCATGACTGGTTGTGTTGGGGCTGGTGGTGTTCTGCTTGCTGTGCTCCCCCCCATTGCGTGGAGCCTTCAGACCATGGTCCGTGCATGCAAACGACACCTGCATGGCTCTTGGAAAAGCCGCTCTTGGTTGCTCCAAATGAGAAACTGTTTACGACCACGAAATGCTTCAGATCCTCTGTTTTCTGCTTGCAGACCTTAAATTTTGGCCTTGTTCTTGTTATGTGACGTTGAACGTCAGGAGTCCAGAGCAGTTCTCCTTGAGGCTGCTGAATCTCATATGGAAATCACACAAGGGAATGATGGGGTCATGGAATTAGTCAGTTTCTTTTTGAAAGGAAGACCTTACGCAACCTGTCACATTTGGACATATCAGCTGTGCAGTTTTGGTCAGCGTGCAGAGAGCTGGGCTGAAGATCCTGAGCTGGGCTCGCTGCACCTGGAATCAAAAGAGAGGATGGAGATGGAGGGAGAAGGATGAAGAGAAAGCACTTATTGAGTTGCTTCAGAAAGCGGTCCTACTGAGAAGAACGCTTGACTAGAAGAACAAAAAATTTAAAAAAAATCATACCAAAACAGAAAACAAAACCTGCAGAAAGTGGTTTCCCCCTAATTTAACGCCTCCTGCTCACATCTCTAAGCTTCTTCCACATGGAAAAATGAGTTCAACTGTGCCCCAGTTTTTCTTGTTATTTCTGGTATTTTCTTCTTTCCAGCCCATGTCTTGATAGATTTTCTTCATGTCTGATTTTCCTTTGCAAACTCCAGTTTTTCTCATCTGATCTAATTCTGCACATTTTTTTGTTTGGTCTGTCTCAGATTCATAATATTTCTGAGGTTCATAATCTAGGTGCCAAGAACTGCAGGTGTCAGAGCAGTTTCTATAGCCCGACACTGATGGCTAAACCTTTAAGTCAAACCTCTGAAGCAAAGAGTAACACTGCACCACCACATTGTGCTGCGGTAGTGCACATGCACATAATCGCTCTCACCCGTGTGACACATCTCAAGAAGAAGGTCATGCTTTTTACAGACACATAAACGCTTCCGGACTAAAAACTGCACAAGCACAAATGATTTCTGGTGGGCAGCATTCATTCACAACATTGAGATACACAAAAATGTAAATCTTAACTGACACAAATGTTCTTACACAGTGAGTTGCAATCGATAGAGATGACTGATTCTGAGTCTCAAACAACTTTGAGAAAGATCGGTCTGTGTTTATGTGGAGAGCAGAGGTCCCGCACAGATCTCCATCCCAACAGAAGCAAAACGTTCTTGTAAAAAAGAAGCAAAATTTAAAAAAAAATAATTAAAAAAAAACCTTGTCCAGTCTCCAAATTCCTCAAGGAAGTCGCAAAGCTTTTTCTTTAAGGTCCTTGGTTTTGGTGCAACAGGGCTCTATTTGATGAAGGGACCTTGAGAATGCAATGGACAAGCAGAAAGGAGGAGGAGAAAGGAGGATGCATGGTATCTCACTTCAGAAAGACAGATGCAGTGAGGAGGCGAGGAGCAGCAGCGAGTGTGGAGCGCAGAGAGACTGAGCTAGTCGCTGAATGAGTGGGAGACTGTGTGTGTGAGGCGACTAGCTCTGACTGAGCGTCTGAAAGAACTGCAGTGTTTTACAACATGGGGGGGAGAGGGAGAGAGAGACAGAAAAAGAGAGAAAGAGCTCAAACAACTGAGTTGAAGTGACTTGATGTTACAGTATGTGTATGCCCCACTTCAGGCAGAATTTTCAGGCATGAGAACATGAGAAGAAGGTTAATTACATGTTTTCACTAACATGCTTCACTTTTATTACATGAACTAATTAAATTTTATAGTTGACTGATTTTACAGCACATGCCTTCTTCACATAATTCTAAACCAAGCATGATAACTCCCATCTATGACCTGCAAAAATAGCACAACAGGAGAAACGGACTCAGAAATCCTCACAGCTCCCAGAAAGAAAACAGCCATCTGCTTTGAAGAGCAGATGTTGAGTACAGATAAGGTAAAGTGGTATTGGGGCAATAACAAAGCATAAAAACCAATGAGCGGAGCGGAGCTGAGCATTACTTTCCTCCACATGTAGCAGTGATGTGACAATGCCTGATGTCATGGCTCATTGAACATCCACACACCTCCAGGCCAGCACAGCTTTATTTAGATCATTGTGATGGCGTTTGATAAAAGTCATTTGTAAAAATCTGTTACGGAAGGCTGATATTTATTTGAAGTCTGTATTTTGCTTATTCATGTGTTTGCAGTTGCATTTTGCAAGTTTTTACAAAATGTTTAAATGCGTTTATGCTCCAGTAAAATTGTATTTTTTGCAACATAACTTGTCTTTTATGATTGCACTTGTTAAATGGGATTTTTGTTGAGCAAGAGCTTTACCTGATAAACCCAAGATGGATGGGAATGTTTGTGGGAGCCAGATAAAGAAAAGAGCATGGCAGAATACATTATGAGGAAAAACACAGTAGGAGTTAATCAACAAAGCCCATGCTCAATAATCCAGGTATACAATCCAACTTTTTTCAGTCAGGTCATCTGGACAGTTTCTTTTTTTTTTTTTTTTTTTCAGATGACCTGACTGAAAAAGGTTGAGTTACAGTAATGCTATTAATTTAATGTTCATTTATTAATGCTAGTCTGTAGTCTTGGATCCCACCGTGTTCTCTGAGGGCTGCGGACCAGTTGCTTCTCTCAGTTCCAGTAATCAGTCTTAAGCACAGAGGTGGCAGGGCCTTCTCAGTCGCAGGCCCTAGACTATGGAATGAGTTGCCTCACCTGTCAGACAGGCCCCTTCCCTCACAGTTTTTAAATCCCGCTTAAAAACCTACTACTATTCCCTGGCTTTCAACAACGTATGATCTGTTGCTGAACCTGTATGCATTACACTGTGCTAATCATTATGTTATTATCCACTAGTATTTTGTTTCTATATATTGATTTTACATTATGTTATGTGTTGCTGTGTGCTTTGCCTGTTTGTTTCTGTTTGTACAGCACTTTGGTTGTCCCTGTCGCTGTTTAAAGTGCTCTATAAATAAAATAGTATGGTATGGTATGATATGGTATACAATACAACTTTATTTACAATACAACTTTATTTATAAAGCACTTTAAAACAACACCGTTGGCCAAAGTGCTGTACACCAACACATACATGCATAAAAACTATGAACTCAACAAATACAATAAAAGTAATGAACTACCAAATCATAAAACAGCAAACAGTAACAACAATAAAACAAATAACATAAAACAGTAAAGCCAACATTTAAAGCTGCGTTAAAAGCCAAAGAGAAAAAAATGAGTCTTCAGAGCAGATTTAAAAACAGGAAGTGAGTCAGCTTGTCTGACGCGCAGAGGCAGCTTGTTCCACAGTTTAGGCGCAGCAACTGAGAACGCTCGGTCACCTCTCAGCCTCCTGTTGGACTTTGGGACGGCCAAGAGCAGCTGATCAGCTGACCTAAGAGAGCGTGAGGGAATGTACGGCTGGAGAAGGTCAGACAGATAATGTGGGGTGAGACCATGAAGACATTTGAATACAAACAAAAGAACCTTAAAATTAATCCGGAAACGAACTGGGAGCCAGTGTAGCGATTTTAGGACAGGGGTGATGTGCTTTCGTTTTCTGGTGCCAGTTAAAAGACGAGCAGCAACATTCTGAACCAGCTGAAGTCGAATCAGTAGTGACTGGCTCAGACCCACATAAAGTGAATTGCAATAATCCAGACGAGTTGTGATGAATGCATGGATTAAAATCTCAAAATGATGTTGTTACAGGAATGGTTTCACCTTGGCCAGTTGTCTCAGGAGATAAAAGCTGGACTTGACCACAGATTTAATCTGAACATCCAGTTTAAAATCATTATCCAGCCTCACACCCAGGTTGGTTGCTGTCTCAGTCAGATGTTTGGTTAAAGGACCCAGATCAACATGGACTTTAGAACCATCACTGAGCTTAAACAACAAGACCTCTGTCTTTTACTCATTAAAGTGTAAAAAGTTCTGTGACATCAATGCTCTGACTTCCGCCATACATTCCAGGAGTTGGTTCAAGGAGTACTGTTTTGTTTCAAAGGAACATAGATTTGGCTGTCATCTGCGTAAAAATGAAAAGAAATACCATGTTTCCGGAGAATATATCCCAGAGGTAGAAAATAAAGGGAAAACAGAAGGGGGCAAGTACAGATCCCTGAGGTACTCCACATGTGAGAGGTGCTACAGAGGATTCCACAGAACCAAAGCGCACACAAAAGCTTCTCTCAGTTAAATAGGACCTAATTCACTGTAGACCAGGACCCTGAATGCCCACCCAGTTCTCCAGATGAGACAGGAGGATCTGATGGTCCACTGTGTCAAAGGCAGCACTTAGGTCCAGCAGCATCAAAACTACACAGTGACCAGAGTCTGTGGCTAAGAGAATGTCGTTAAAAACTTTCAACAGTGCCGACTCAGTACCATGGTGAGTTTTAAAACCGGATTGAAACAGTTCAAGAAGGTTGTGGTTGTTTAAGTAAGATGTTAACTGAGTAAACTATTTTCTCCAAGATCTTCGACATAAAGGTCAGTTTAGAAATAGGCCTAAAATTGGACATGTCTGTAGAGTCAAGACCGGGTTTTTTAATCAGTGGTGTCACAACTGCATGTTTTTAATCAGTGGTGTCACAACTGCATGTTTAAAACTCGCAGGTACCTGTCCACTTGCCAAGCTGCCATTTATGATTTGGGACACAAAAGGAGCCACCGTGCGAAAAACCTCTTTAAAAAGACAAGATGGGATGGGATCGTTTGGAGCTCCAGCAGACTTCATACGATCAGTGATGTCTTTTAAAAAAGGCAGGGTGACGAGTTCAAACTGACTGAAAACAGCAGAGCGTGTGACAGAGATGGAGGGGTCAAAAGAAGGAGGGCTTATGAGAGCTCTAATGTTTGCAACTTTGTTGGTAAAAAAGCTTAGGAAGTTCTCACACACTCCAGTGGAGTTCTCTGGGCTGGTTTATTGTGGGGCATTAAGAACAGAGCTGACGGTTTTAAAAAGCACACGTGGATTGTTAGAGTTGGTGGAAATTATGTCAGAGAAATATTTGTTTTTTGCAGCTCTAACAGTGAACTGATAGAAATTCCAGTTGTCCCTCGGTGCTTGGAAAGACACCTGTAACTTGTCCTTCTTCCGT